GAAGGTCACCCCCCAGCCCCAGCCACAGTCCCAGCCAGCAGTACCGCAGGAGGAGCCTGATCTACTGTTCAACACGCAAGCACCAAAACCCCAGACGGCACTACCGCAGCGCCCAGCACAAGCTGCTCAGCCCGTCAAGCGGCCCACGCCAGCTGCCGCTCCACGGGCAACACCTCCCGCCCGCCAAATCCCAACCATCTCGCCAGCAGCTGTCGCGCAGTCCGCCCAGCACCGCCTCGCGGGCACCCAGCACTTCAAGCGTGGCGACTATGCCTCTGCTCATGCGTCGTATTCCAGCTCCCTCGCAGCGATGCCATCCACCCACCCCCTCGCCATTGTCATTCTTACGAATCGCGCCCTCACCTCCCTGAAGAACGGCGAGCCGAAAAAGGCTGTGGAGGATGCCGACGCCGCGCTGCAGGTCATAGGCCCTTCTCAGGGCCAGGGCGAGCACGTCAGCGTCACGACAGACGCTGGCGCCGAGGAGCGCCGCGACATGCGCGACCTCTATGCCAAGGCGCTGAGCCGCAAGGCCGAGGCGCTCGAGCAGATGGAGCGCTGGGCGGAGGCCGGTGCCGTGTGGCAGACGTGCGTGCAGGGCGGCATCGGCGGGCCCACGGCCGTCGCGGGCCGGCAGCGGTGTCAGGCGGCTCTCGCGCCGAAGCCCAAACCCAAACCCAAGGCGGCGCCCGCGCGAGCGCCCGTCAGGCCACGTGCGGCGGCGGCGCAGCAGCAGAAGAGCTCCGAGGCTGTCGAGAGGCTGCGGCAGCAGAACGTGGCGGCTGCGGCCGAGGACGACGAGAAGTTTGCGCTATCGGAAAAGGTCGACGCGCGGATCGCGGCGTGGCGGGACGGCAAGCGGGACAACCTGCGCGCCCTGCTGGGAAGCCTCGACACGGTGCTCTGGGAGGGCAGCGGGTGGAAGAAGGTCGGGCTGCACGAGCTCGTCATGGCGAACAAGGTCAAGATTGCGTACATGAAGGCGATTGCCAAGTGTCACCCGGACAAGGTAGGTTGATGGTTGTGCAGATGCATCGTGGACAGACATGTGCTGACTCGAACCAGCTTGCGCAGGACGCCAGTACCGAGGTCAGGCTCATCGCGGCGACCGTGTTCGCGACGCTCAACGAGAGCTGGGACAAGTTCAAGTCGGAGAACGGCTTGTAGGCGGTTGCTAGGCATGCATCAAAAGGCAGCAGCAGGCCATGGCTTTTTTTGTTCGTTTTTTTTTGGTTAGACGGGGCATTAGACGGGACTCTGGCTGGGTAGACGGATTATTCAATTCACAAGCCCCCCCCCCCCCAAACGCCATGCTATGTATGCCAGCCTGCGCGCGCTGCCGGCTTTCCTGCTCACTCTGTTCCCTCGCGTGTCGTGAAGCCTCCTGTTGCCTCGTCCAGCCGCGCGGCACGTCTTGTCCATCGTCCCAAAGCAGAAGAAGCACATCCCATCACAGGCCGAGCATCCGCCTGACGCCATCGCGGACCTTTTGCTCATACTCGCCCCGCCTCTCGCGCCACATCTTGGCGGCCTCGACATTGGCGGGGCTCTCGTCATTGGGCTCGGCCAGCATGCTCATGACGCTGATGAGGATCTTCTCGACGCTCTGGATGGGGCTCCAGCGCTCGCTCGCGTGCTCGTAGTGATTCGGGTCGTCGCCGGGCGGGTGCAGGATGGAGATGCAGACGAGGCCCGAGGGGTAGACGTTGGGGTGCCAGACGTCGGCGAGGAAGCGCATCGACGGCGGCGCCAGCGGGTAGTCCTTGGGGAAGCGCAGCTCGGCGGGGAAGACGCCGCCCTCGAAGGGCGTGCCCTCGGGGCCCTGGATCAGGGCCTCCCAGTGCAGCAGGTCGTCTTCGGTGACGGGGCCGGCGGTGATGCCGTCGGGGGGGTTGTTGGTGAGGGCGCGGTACTCTTGGAGGAGACGGCGGTGGGCGGTGGACTGGGCCATCCTTTTTCTCTCTTCTTTCTTCCCTTGCCTTTTGGTCTCTCAATCGCCTGAGGAGGGCGTATCTGATTCTTTCTGATTCTTGTGTTTGGTTGATGATGGTGTTCTTCGGCGTGGTTCCTAGTGTCCTGGTGGTGACACAGCTGCTTCGGATCGGCGGGGTTCTTGGACGCTGCTTCCCCCAATGCCGCCGATAGGCCTTAGTAAGCAGCTCGAGCTCCCGATGAGAAACATCAAAGCTCCACAGTCAATGGAAAGCTTCCCGTCTGATCGAGCATCGAAATCAAGCATCGACAATCGACCATCGTTGCCCATGGTCCAGGGCCATCCCATCGCCCCTCGCCCACCATGACCTCGCGGATCCCCCTGCGCGCCATCGCAGGCCGCTCGGTTGCCTCACCCCTCCGGCCCCGGTCATCGCTTGCCAGGACCCCCGCCTGCCTGTTCTGCGCCCTCATCACCAGAACACCGCGCCGCTTCCAGTCCACGACGTCAGCTGCACCTTCGAATCCCCGTGCAGAGCTCATCGATGCCCTTCTCGATCTCCAAAAACACGCCCCCAACTACATCAACCTCTCGCGGCTGCAGCTGGCCCTCCAAGGCCTGCGTCAACCCGCCGGCGAGGAATCCATCCGCGTCGCGATCCTCGGTCTCGCCGATGGCGCCGAGCCAGGCACAACGGCAAGGGACCTCCTGCGTCTCCTCCTCGCCGACCCTCTCGCCTCGGAGCAGGCATGGGAGAAGCAGATGGCGACGCATGATGCCCGCCAGCCCCTCGTCGTGCGGATACGGCAAGCACAGCCCCGGCCCGAGGCCGCCAGCCTGACGATAGCCAAGACGAACCTGCTGCACGAGCTCGAGGTCTCGCGGCCCGGTCTCAACGGCCTGCACATCGAGCTGCTCCTGACAGAAGTCAGCCCTCTGGCGGGGGGCGTCGCCGGCGAGCTGGGCGCTGTGGACGCCGAGGAGGCCGTCCTGGTGCCGACCGTCGACATCCCTTCCAACACGGGACGCTACAACCCCATCACGACGCCCGTGCACAAAGCCCTCGTCGTCACGAGGGGCCTCATGGGCGCCGCTGCCGTCGCGACGCTGCCGGTGCTGCAGAACAGGCATGCCGTGCTGGCTGCTGTGGATCTCCCGGGGTTCACCGCGACACGGCCGCCGGATGAGAGCACCACGTTCCAGCCCATTGACGTGGCGGCCGCCGGCAAGGGAGTCGATCTGTTCCGTGAGAACATTGGCCACGCGATGGAGTATGAGCGGCTATGGAACGGCAGCAACATCCCCGCTCTGGTCGCCTGGTTGAAGACGGGCGCCGAGGCCCAAGATGGCGTGACGAAAACGGCGCTGCGACAACTCATCACGTCGCTGCTGAACAACACGACTACGGCCATCGCAGAAGAGGAGTCGAGACAGCTGCGCGGTCGCCTCTCGGACAATACAACCGCGGCGTCATCGCCCGAGTCTGCAGCACTGAACAGTGGCCTCGCCGCCTGGTCGCAGGAGGCGCACGAAGAACTGCAGAAGCAGCTCGACCTCGCATTCGCAGGCAGGCGATGGCGGAAACTCGGCTGGTGGAAGCTCTTCTGGCGCGTCGACGACGTCGGATACCTGACCAGCGAGATTCTGAGCCAGCGGTTCCTCCCCAGCGCCGAGCGTGAACTCGTCTACCTCGCGGGCCGCATCGAACAAGCAGGCACAGCCCACACGGCCGGCGCGCCCATGTACACGCAACCTCTCCCCGCGTCAGAACAGCCTCCCGTTGCCGCGGCGCCGGCGCCCACGACCGTGACACGCCCGACGCCCAAGTGGCCCACGCACATCGCCTTCACGCGCCGCTACCTCCACGCGGAGACGGTGCCCGCGCTGCAGGCGCTCGCGCAGAAACTTGTCCTCCAGGCCTCGAGCACCGCCGGTCTCGCGACGTCTCTCGCCGCCCTGCTCTTCATGTCGTCGTCCGTCACGACGCTCTACGAGGCCGGCGCCGTCGCCGCCTTGGGCATCGTCTGGAGACTGCGGCGCTTGCAGACCAAGTGGGAGACGGCGCGCGAGTTTTGGGAGGGCGACGTCAGGGAGGAGGGCCGCAAGGCCGTGCGCGGCGCGGAGGCCAGCATTGCTGGTGTTCTCGAAGGCAAGACGGGCAGCCCGACGCAGGCTCATGAGGATGTGCGCGAGAGGGAGCTGGCGCGGCAATTGACGGAGAAGGCGGCGGATGCGCTATCGAGGATGAAGTAGGAGGGCACTGACGAGCATGAAAGAGGTGCACTCTTGAGAGTGAGCTGTAAAAGTCACGGACAGACGGGCAACGCAAAAATGTCCTTGTATTTATAGACATTGGTTTTGGGGGGGGCATACACGAGCATCGAGCATCGAGCATCGAGCATCGAGCATCGAGCATCGAGCATCACAACGCTGCTGCAGCTTTCTGATAGACACGATACCAGACACGCCCCTGCCCGCACGGCACGGCGCTATTTTTCATTTCTCTCTTGTTCATGAGTATTTCATCATGGGGCTTTCCTTGACGTGCTGGTCCTCCGCGTTGGCTCCATCTGGTGGGCAGACGCTCTCGGCTCGCAGCGGTGGGTTCTCCCTGCGGCCGCATCGCGTCCTGCGGCGAGCAATCGCCCAGCAGTCCTGCGACGATGGCTGGGCGATTCCTCGCCGCCAGCCAGGTATCACGGTTCCTTGCCTC